CACTACCTCTTCCTCCTCGTCCTCTTATTCTTTTACTCATCCACTCATTTCCCTCCACCTCCTTTGCGTCCATCATGGCGCCCCTCCACTTTCTCTTCTTGCTTATCTTCCCTACCTCCTCTTTGATTTTCCTCCTCTTCTCCTTCTCCTTCTCCTTCTTCTCCTTCTTCTCCTTCTTCTCCTTCTTCTCCTTCTTCTCCTTCTTCTCCTTCTCCTTCCTCTCCCTCTTCTCCCTCTTCTCCCTCTTCTCCTTCTTCTCCTTCTTCTCCTCCTCCTTCCCCTTTCCCTCCCTTCCCCTTCCCCTTCTTCCTTCTCCTCCTTTCCTCCTCCTCCTCCTCCTCCTCCTCCTCCTCCTCCTCCTCCTCCTCCTCCTCCTCCGCCTCCTCCTTTTCCTCCTCCTCTTCCTCCTTCTTTTCCTCTTCCTCCTCTTCCTCCTCCTCCTCCTCCTCCTCCTCCTCCTCCTCCTTTTTTCTCCTCCTCCTCCTTCCTCCTCCTCCTCCTCCTCCTCCTCCTCCTCCTCTTCCTCCTCCTCCTGATCCTCCTCTTCCTCCTCTTCCTCTTCTTCCTCCTCCACTTCCTCCTCATTCTCCTTCTCTTCGTCTCCCCTCCCCTCCCTCCACCTCTCTCCCTTTTCCTCCTCGTCTCCCTCCTCCCCCTCCTCCCTCCCCTTCCCTCCCCTCCCCTTCCCCACCACCACCCCCTTCACGTCCCTCTCCATCTTCCCCTCCTTTTGGTCATCGCCGTGTACTAATTCCTGCATTTTTATTCTCCTTGCAGGTTTGTATACGTCTTCTCATTGGCTGTATTCTGGTATGGTAGGTGAGGGCAGAGGTGAGGCCAGACCCCGCCCAGTTGGGTCTCTCGTGCGGCCTTTAACTCTTCTGTGTGTGTGTGTGTGTGTGTGTGTGTGTGTGAGTGAGTGTGTGTGAGTGAGTGAGTGTGTGTGTGTGTGTGTGTGTGTGTGTGTGTGTGTGTGTGTGTGTGTGTGTGTGTGTGTGTGTGTGTGTGTGTGTGTGTGTGTGTGTCGCACGTGTTGTTCGTGTGTAAACATGAGAGAGAGTGAGAGTGAGAATGAGAGGTGGAGGGAGTGTGCCGTGGGAGGAGGAGTGAGAGTGAATGTATATGTGTGTGCCTTAGTGAGTGTATGTGTAAATGTATGTATATGTATGTGCCTGTGTATTTGCATGTGTGTGTGTGGCGTGTGATTGTGTTTGTAGGTATTAGAGGCAGATATTATTGTAGCATAGTTATTATTGTGATCGCTTTTTCTATGGTTACGGGTTTTCTGTAAACAGTGCCGGTTGAGTGCGCACCGTAGACGTCACTTGACATCGCCGAATGAACTGGATATTGTGCATATGGCACAGATGCTGTAGGACTCGCATCTGGTTGACAGTGACTGAGCGCTTAGATAATACCGGGTGTGTGCGGAGATGTTATTGGACGTGTAGATTTAGACGATCCAATTTATTTTCAAGAGCATTCGTAGGTAGATGTGGACATCCCGTAGAGGTGGATTTGTAAAACTGGATCTGGCTACGATTGTGGATGCAGAGCTTTCTACGTAGCGAGATGAATAACGTTGAATTTGTGCCCGTCAGTATGGTCATTGTATTCAGCACTACGATGATTTTATGAACGTGTAGTTGTACATTTCAATAACAAAAACGTGTTACCCGAGAATACCCTAGTGTGGATTAATCAGCGTGTTGTGCGGGTGTAATCTGGTGGCAGCAGAGGTAAAAATGCAGTGTGGGAGTGTAGCACGTGTGTAGCCATGGATGTAGCCAGACAGGCAGGCCTTGTTGGTAGGGTCGACGGCTGGTTCCCTGTATTGATTCTTGGCCCACCGAATGGCGTCTTCGTACTGGCTGGCACCCTAGGTCTACTGTACGTTGTGGCACCCTAGGTCTACCGTGAGATATGGCACCTTGGAGTCCAGTGGGTCTAGCTGGCTTTGAGATACGTATTCTTCCGAGTTGGCAACCTCGGTCTGTGGCTGATGTGGTTCATATCTGACGCGCTTACACCACAGCACTTACAGGCCACATCTGCTAATCCACTTTATCTTATCATCCACTCACAGACTTTCGCTCCTTTATCCATTCATCAGCCTCCGTATCCACAAGCGGCTTTCCCATTCATCTCTTCTCCCACTGACCTCCCTTGCCCTCGGACAGCCCTCCACCTCGCGATCCACCCATACCCACCTGCGAAGTCCTTGCGCGCGCACACGCCCTTGCATCCATCTTTGATATCCTTGCGTCCAGGCGGCTCCACTTCCATTTGGCAGCCATTTTGCCAACATACATTATCGCCGTGATCATTATCATCAAAAGAAAGTTGGATTTAAATAGGACTTCATGATAAAAAAAAAACAGCCAACAACTAATTGCTGGCCGGGCCGAGGAAGCCGCTGCGAGGAGAATGAATATCAGAAGTTAAGCAAGAAGGGAATGCTCATTTGGTCGTATTTTTAAGCCTTGTTTTTGGGCGAGGGCGGCGCTTTATCTCGGGCCCGGGCTGGAGCGACGAAGGGAAGCGTCTGCCATTCATTCAAATAGTTTGACAAGTGTTCTTCGCTGTGTGTAGTCGCTCCTTATGCTCCCGCCGCCCTGAGGGGACTGGTGGAGCTTTCAGTGTCCGTGGAGCTCGTGCGCCTCTTGCCTGGCGCTTTGTAGTGGAGTTTTATGGGTGGAGTTTTTATCCGGAGTGTTGTAGAGTGGAGTTTATGAGCTGTTTAGCCCGGGTGTTTGAGTGGAGTTTGGAAGCTGCTTATCTCATGGGACCGGCCGAAATGTTTTATGCTTTGAGTTCCGTCTTTTTTATTTTTTACGAATTTTAATTGGATTTCCCAAGAATAAGAACAGCTAGAAGAAGAATAGAGGGAATTATTAAGATAAAGCAAAAAAGGGCACCGGGTCTCACGTGGCAGAAAGATGCCCGTGCTCGCGCGAACATCCCTGGCATTGTGGGCGTGAGAGAGCCCGCAGCGAGAGGCGGGGGCTGTCGTCGTCCAGCACGCGAGGGCACGGGCGTGCAGGTAGGCAAACAGCACCGCGGCCCAGAGGACGTATGCCATCCCGCCCGCGTTCGGCCTTCGCCTCGAGTGTTGCCTCTTAAGTGCTCATGCCTCCCAGAGTGGGTAGAGTGTCGTGGAGGGGGAGGGAGGTAGACACCATTTTGTTGGGTGGAAAGTGGGCGGATTAGATCGCGGATGAAGGGAGGGGGCGCGGGGGCGTGAGGGTCGCTCTTGCGCCCCCACGTCCTGAGGGTTGCCGCGGGTGGCGAGTCTCGGCTGCAAACATCTTGAAGAAGTGTGTGTCAGCTACGGAAGACATGGGCGTCGGAAGGGGGTGTGGGCGGTGTGGCGGGGGGTTAAAAAGAATGGCGATACGCGAAAGAGGAGGGCGAAGTGTCGGGGGGGGGGGGGGGGACCGCGGTCGAAGGAGTTTGATGTTCTGGGTCATGGCGACCATATGTAATTTTGGTGGAAGTTTGCAGTGTGAGGTTGTTAACAGATTCTCTTTAACTATATAGGTGGTGCGAGGATGAGCTGATGTAATGTGGCCGAGGTTTAGGGTATTTTTTTTTCTCTTTAGTGGGAGACCGATATAAAATGTGATGGAGTTCGCAGTGTGAGGGAGGTGTGGTCTTGGTGACGGTCGATATTGGTGAGCGAGGGTGGGGAGGAGGAGGAGGAGGAGGAGGAGGAGGAGGAGGAGGAGGAGGAGGAGGAGGAGGAGGAGGAGGAGGAGGAGGAGGAGGAGGAGGAGGAGGAGGATGGGAAGAGGGGGAGGGGGGAGGATTGGGTGGTGCTAGAGGGAGGGGCGGAATTTCAGGGGGGGGGGGAGGCAGGAGGGTGACTTCCCGACGAAGTAAGTTTCTGATGGAGTTTAGGAAGGGAGGGAGAGAGGGAGGGAGGAAGGGGGAGAGGGAGCGAGCGAAGGAAGGAGAGAGGGAAGAAAGGAGTGAGGGAGGGAGAGAAGGAGCGAGCGAAGGAAGGAAGGAGGGAGGGAGGGAGGGAGCGAGTAAGAGAAGGAAGGAGAGAGCGAGGGAGGGAGGGAGCGAATGAGAGTAGATGAGAGTAGGAGAGTAGAAGAGTAGGAGAGTAGGGAGGGAGGTAGGAAGGAAGGAAGATGGCGGGATGGAGAGAGAAAGATTAAACTTCTGTAGTGGACGGGGAAGAGGGATAGTGAAGTTGAGAAGATAGGTCGAGGGTGGGAAGGGGAACGGAAAAGGGGAAGGGAACGGGAGAAAAGTTTCTTACATAAGGGCGTCTAGAGGGTTATGCGAGAGGGAGAGGGAGAGAGAGAAAGTGAGTGTGTGTGTGTGTGTGTGTGTGTGTGTGTGTGTGTGTGTGTGTGTGTGTGTGTGTGTGTGTGTGTGTGTGTGTGTGTGTGTGTGTGTGCACACGTATGTGTTCGTGTGTAAACATGTGAGAGAGGTGAGAGTGTGTCGATGGATTGAGTGAGTGAATTAGCGAGCGAGCAGTGGGAGTGTGAGGGAGTGAGTGAGAATGAATAAGAATGAGTGAAAATCATTGAGTGAGAGTGAGGGAGTAAGAATGAGTGGATGAGAATGAGTAAGTAAAAATGAGTAAGTAAAAATGAGTAAGTAAAATGAGTAAGTAAAATGAGTAAGTAAAAATGAGTAAGTAAAAATGAGTGACAGAATGAGGGAGAGAGGGAGAGAAGGAGAGAAGGAGCGAGGGAGAGAGGGAGAGAGGGAGAGAGGGAGAGAGGGAGAGAGGGAGAGAAGGAGAGAAGGAGAGAAGGAGAGAAGGAGAGAAGGAGAGAGGGAGAGAGGGAGAGAAGGAGAGAAAGAGAGAAAGAGAGAAAGAGAGAAGAGAGAAAGAGAGAAAGAGAGAAAGAGAGAAGGAGAGAAGGAGAGAAGGAGAGAGGGAGAGAGGGAGAGAGGGAGAGAGGGAGAGAGGGAGAGAGAGAGAGAGAGAGAGAGAGAGAGAGAGAGAGAGAGAGAGAGAGAGAGAGAGAGATTGG